ATATTATTATTATTATTTTTTTTCACAAATGAGGTTTAGGCACAAATGCATTGTTCCACGGTGTGGAGTAGATTGCCATTCACTGTCCAGGTTGCGTAGCAGCCGCCTAGGACATACTGCTCGGGACATGTTAGGAGTCCTCCTTCACGTTGCGCTGATTCTTGTGTTGTTGGGAATGCTCTTGCGTCTGTAATGCATATATCTACTCAGACTTGTCTTATTTTACAAAAAAAAGGGTCGAGGGAGAAATGTTTATCTGGGATTAAGATAATACAGCTGTTAAGGAAGTGGCTTCTTGACTAAATGAAGAAATGCAAAAGGGGGACAAATGGAAAATACTGGACCTGAAAAAAGAACAGAAAAGGAAGGAAAACAATTAGACAAAATGTTTGGAAGGAACAAGCCGCATACATCACACAGAACTAAAGTTAAAGGAGAACTATGAGGTTAAGAGAAAATCACTCATCCTCATAGTTCGAGCCGACGTGTGACAATGAAACTGTCACAGGTTGGCTCAATAGATCGGGAAGTGAGCGAACACATACCGTCGCTCGCTCACTTCTCTATCACGTCCCTACAGAGAGCTGTGACTGTCACTCACGGCTCCCTGCAGGCATTCTCCCCGCTGGAGGATCGGATGGGGGAGGGGACAGGTACAGCTGGCTCTGCCTCTAGATAGGCAGAGCCAGCTGTCACTCACGCAGTTGGGTAAATCTCAACAGTAATGGCGGGATCCGTCCCGGCTGCGGCGTCTCAGTATACCATGAGCTGTAGTTTGTGATAAACTGACCTTTGGGTCATAGGAGAACACTAGTATATGTCCTCCCGTGACCCTTAGGAGAACTATGTGGAAAAACACTTACCCCATAGTTCTCTGTTAAAATGTTTAAAAATTGCTACCCGGTAGATTTTTATGGCCGAAGATATTCAGTATGTCTCTCTTCCTATAAAACCTTTTTTCCCAGTCCACTAACAATATCCTTTCCAAAATTGACACTGACCCATTAGCTAGTTTTAGTTAAACTGACACTAAAATCAGGAGTTAAATCTTAAAAATGTATTCAAGTACCTTAACTATTAACAAAAATGTATCTTATTTGTGTATCACTCGGCTGTAGATCCTCAAATCATCTCTGAATTGGTGCTGACTAGGGAGGCACCGATACCAATACTAGTACCTGTGCCAATAACGAGTATTTCTAATAGCCGGGAAGCTGCCTCCATGTTCCCTCGTCACCAGGGAGCATGGAGCCATCTTCCCGGCCATTTAGGAAGCCAGGTGCCATGTAATGACTTGCCGCCCATTTCCTAATTGGTCGGGAAACTGGCCAGTCAGGAAACTTGGCGGTGAAGCATTACCCGCCCACCGGCTTCCTGATCCAGAAAGCAGGCTTCATGCTCCCTCGTCACCTTGTGAAGAGGGAGCATGGCGCTGGCAACCCGCTCAATCAGGCAGCAGGGTGCAGTGTATTAACTCGCCGCCCAGCCTCCTGATTGGTCGGGAAGCTGGCCAATCAGGAAACCAGGTAGTGAGTCTTTATTTACCCCCCCCCCCCCCCTCCAGCTTCCTGATTGGCTAGAAAGCTGGCTCCATGCTCCCTCGCCACTTGTGATGAGGGAGCATGGAGACAGCTTCCCTGCTAATCGGTTAGCAGGTCATTACATGCTGCCTGGCTTCCTTAATGGGACTTTTGGTACCGGTATTCGGTATCGGCGAGTACCGAAAAAAAATATCAGTACTCGTACTTGATACCGAAAAAACGGTATAGGTGCATCCCTAGTGCTGACACTGACCTTCCTTCTGGAGGGGGGCTACTTTTGTTCCCCATGGTCACTGTGTGTGTTGTAAAGTAGTCACCGCTCCAAGCTTGCTCCTAGGATGGACTACAATCTCAATAAAAATTAGCTAATTAAACATGAGATTGTAGTCCATCCCGGGAGCGAGCTTGGAGCGGTGACTACTTTACAACACAGGGACCATGGGGAACAAAAGTAGCCCCCCTCCAGAAGGAAGGACAGTGTCAGCACCAATTCAGAGATGATTTGAGGATCTACAGCCGCAAGATTAGGTGACCAAGCAAAGTCCAGCAAAAACTTTTTTTTTATTATTTGGAGAACTATTATAAGAACTTCTGTCAGATTTTTATTTTATTTGCCTCATTAAAAGCTTTACTCTTATTTCCTGTCCAGGAAACACAACAGGAAGCAAGGACAACTTTCCTTTCAGAACACAACAGTCCTAACCCTACTTTGTCTGCACACTGTCTGCGTCCAAGTGCGGGCACGTAAGAGCAGGTTCGGGTGTGCGTGTCACCGCATGTAATTGCGTGCAGCTGGGTCCTCCCATAGGAAAGCACAAACCGCTGCATGCAATTACACTCAGCACCTGTCCCTTCCGGGATCGCATCTTTTTACAGACCTAATAGTAAAAGTGCTTTTATCATTTGTATTTGTGTTGGAGAGATTCTCATTCTCATGAAATCTAGGCCGGTAAATGTGAGAAGGAGCCCACAGCTCTGCCTGCTAGTGGGAAATAGTAGATATGAAATATTAATATGCAATATTTCAGATTTATCTCTGACAAAATGTATTTTCTGAAAATGTCATCTTTTGGTCCTGAACATAAAAAGAAAATAGTTCAAAACTGCCCTTTAGGTGGAGAGAAAAAAAAAAGTACCTTTTTTTTTACATCTGTCCCAAATGATTTGATGCGTCCCCCATACCGCCATGGGGGCCTGAAAGAGATAGAGGCGAGGGGTCTGATGATACTTTTTCTTCTTCTCTTCTCTTTAGACATGCTGCTTTAGGGTTTAAGTTTCTTTCTGCAAGACACAAGGTAGCAAAACACAGCTCAATCAACACATAATAACATATATAATATACCGTAAATAATTTCACAATAAGTAAAAAACAACAAAACTTTAGAATGTTTGTTCAGGGAATTAAGTTTTTTCTTTCTTTTCTTTGATTTTTGTTTTTTAAAGGCAGTTGGGTGACTGTGCCTGGCCCATGGATATAGGGGAATACAATCTCCTATGTGACTACCATACTTGGATATTGGTGAGTTGTGTACGTTCCATCCCTATGCAGAGGTGAGAGATTTTTGCTCAGTATTATTATTATTATTATTATTATACAGGATTTATATGGCGCCAACAGTTTGTGCAGCGCTTTACAATATAAGGAAGACATTACAATCACAATACAATTCAAGACAAGATGGTAAGGAGGGCCCTGCCCCTGAGGGCTTACAATCTGCAAGGGAGGGGCCAGTGATACATGAGGAGGTAGCTGTGTGGGGATGAATTGTATGAGAACGTGATGGTTGATTGGTTAGGTTGAGGTGGGATAGGCTTCCCTGAAGAGATGAGTCTTAAGGGATCACCTAAAGGCAGTCAGAGTAGGAGATAGTCGGACAGGTTGGGGTTAAGAGTTCCAGAGGATGGGAGAGACTCTAGAGAAGTCCTGGAGGCGAGCATGGGAGGAGTTGACGAGGGAGCTGGAAAGCCGGAGGTCTTTGGAAGAGCAGAGGGGACGGTTAGGGTGATATTTTGAGACCAGGTTGGAGATATAGCCGGGGGCAGAGCTGTGGTTGGCTTTGTAAGTGATTGTTAATATTTAGAATTTTATCGTTTGGGCCATTGGAAGCCAGTGAAGGGATCATGTCACTTGGAGGACCTAGTCCAGCTGTAGCTTACAGCGCGTCATAAATGGACAAATACAGGCTGTGCAGGAGGGGAGAGACATATGATAATTCTGGATTACAATAGAGTTCTATGACTTTCATAAGACATATACCCACCTGTGCCATGACATGACATGCTCCACAGTCTTATTGGTCGGTTCACACATTGTGTATGATAGTGAAAGTAGGAAGTACGACTGTGCAGCAGATGTGATGCAGATTATTGCTGTGGTTTTGGATCGTACAGATAACGGGGCCCCATAGCAAAAATGTGATGATGGGCCCCCCTGATGACCTCCCTATGAGCTGTGAGTAACGATGCCAAGATCCAAAAGACTCCTCTTGTGCATCTGAAGTTGTCTCTACATTATAGACTTTACAGGGGATTAGAGTTGTCATCAACTGCAACCACTCCATTCCTTAATGATACAATACGGTGCTATCTTCACATGTTCTAGGATTAATTTGCCTCAACAACCTAATGGGCCCCCTTCTACCCCCTGGACCCATTGCAGCCACTTCGGCTGCTCTGACTATAGTTACACCACTGGATTCTCGAATGTACATGACAAGTACCCTTTAATTTCCGTGGTGCCTCACTGCTGTAACAAAAACTGACATTGGCTTGCTTCCCAAAGGTGCAGGCCATTGTCAAAAGCAAGCCTCCGGTTAGAAAAGCAGTAAGTCATCAGACCTCACACCTTTCATAATCCTTAAAAAAAAAAAAGACTTTAAAGTGTATTTCCACTTTTGCAGCCAAATTGGGATAACACCTATTTTATATTTGTTATATGTTTCCATCCACATAGCATAAGCTAAAAAAAAATATTTAAAAGATGCTGCTTGCTGTTGAAGTTGCTTTTACTTGGGTTAGGGTTTCTTGGCTTGTTATGGGTTAAACATTCTACTTGCTTCTCCTTCTTTGTAATATTGTGAGTGGTTGAAGGATTACAGCCCTGGCATCTGCATTCAACTGTTAATGAAGTTAATGAAAACACAGTTGTCACATTTAAATCCTTAGTCTTTCTATAAGGATAGATCACTGTGAAGGTGCTGAGAAAAACCTGAAATCAGCCATGTTGCCTGCTGTAACAAAACATATAAACGTTAAGAAATATTTTTGTGATAAAGTATTTTTCACTATGCTGTGTGAATAGGAACACAGAGAAAACTTTTAGAGGGGTTTTCTCACATTTGATTGCAAAAGTGGAAATAAACATTAAAGCGATATTAAAGTCAGAATGTTTTAAGGCTTTTACAAATGCCGTTTGGATAACTTACACTGGATGCTGCTTCTTGATGTCTAAAAGTTTTAGCTTCCTGCAGAATAAGCCGGATCTATGAGCACTGGCCCTGATATCCTGATTTAGGGGGATCATTTCCCTTGCAGGGTCCTATGGAGCCACAATTGTGTGTGCTAGTAAACTGTGTGTGTCTCCACAAACACACAGGCACAGCAAGGCAATCCACTCTCCTGCTCCCCTCTCCTCCCTTCCCTAACCTAGTAGATAGACGGCTGCTGGAGACTGCTCTGTCCCTTGTGATCTTATACTGGACAGGAAGTTGTTTAGAGTGGCCTTGAAGTGAGGGGGAAGAAAAGCTGAGGGTGAGATCTAAGCAGGTCCCGTGTGCTGTCATATGTTTAGATCTACAGGTATATGATCAATAAACAAGTTTGATAAATTGTGTTGATTATATTTCCTCACCTCTGACTTGCTGTTCCAAGCTAAGGATGACAGCCACTGCCTGATGTAGTATCAGAAGCTTGGTCTGGGGTTTGTCGCTTTTCAAGTGAAGCTGCACCATCCTCCCCAGCTCCTTGAAAGCCTCGTTGATGTCGCGGACGCGGAGACGCTCACGAGCGTTATTGGCCATCCTTCTTTCTTTCTCCCGCTCCGCCTTCTGCTCGGGGGTCAGATCCTCATCATCGTTATTGCTGAGAAATAATACAGATGTTTAAATAAAAACTCGGTGCAGAACAAAAGGCAGCGCAGTATACAACATACAAATAGCGGCACACTGAAGGAGAACGTCATCCTAGCCAAATATGTTCTGGTACAAAACCTTCTAATGGAACAGTTCTTAAAGGATAAGTTCACCTTTTGCAAAAATGAAAGAAATGCATAATTAATCATTTATAAAAAATATGAATTTCTTTAATATTTGCATCAAGCCTGGAAACCATTGCACTTGTGATCACTCGATCAGGGCTGCACAGCTCAGGCTTCTGCACATTCTGTCCCAGGCAGGGCTCCGCACGGAGGTACAGAGTTTCAGTTAGGAGAGATGGGGGATGGACGGAGTTCAAATTGCATGAAATCACCTCATACGGCGTCCAGCCGCCCTCGCTCTAGGTAGAGCTGTCCATATTCCTGCGACTACAAAGAGGGAGGAGGGCTGGATGCCATATGAGGAAATGTCATGCAATTTGAACTCCAGCCATCCTTCCCCATCTCTCCAAACTGAAACTCCGTACCTCCGTATGTAGTTCTGCCTGGGAGAGAATGTGAAGAAGTCTGAGCTCTGCAGCCCTGATCGAGTGATCACAATTGCAATGCTTTCCAGGCTTGAATGCAAATATTAAAGACATTCATATTTTTGTTATATATTATCAATTATGCATTTCTTTCATTTTTGCAAAAGGTGAACTTATCCTTTAAATATTTACTATTTACACTTTTATTACAGTTCCTGATTTTTTTGAATAGCTGCTAATATGCAAATTAGCTTATTCCGGCACCAAGAATAATCTTTTGTCTCCACCAGCCCTGCACCCACCCTGGGAGGCAGTGTGAACCAGGCTGGGTCTGTGCCACCCCCTCCAAACACATTTTATCAACATGATTGACACAAGAAGCACAACACAGAAAGAGCCATGACGGCCATGTTGTTCTACAATAAGGGTTAGGTTTTTTCTGAACGTGCATTTGGGTTCAGTCACTTGGTGACTGTAATCTATCTTATGTATAATGCACCGTGCTGCGAGAATGTTCACCGATGCTGCAGCTGAGAACTAGGGATGTGCACCATTGTGTGTTTCTAGTTCTCAGACCTTAACTGTCCAACTGATAAACTTGTCATAGAGTCACAATCAAGTAAACCGTCTCACAATGGTGCTAAATGCGGTCTGGGATCTTAACCTAAGGGTTAAAAGTAAAATAGCGCTTAGCCAACTTCTTCAATGGTGTGTTTGGACCAGGCACTTGCATAGCATAGCTGATTGGATATTATGACACGAAACTTAGGAGTTAAATCTTAAAAATACATTCAAGTACCTTAATTATTAACAAAAATGTCTCCTATTTGTGTATCACTCGGCTGTAGATCCCCCAATCATCTCTGAATCGGTGCTGACACTCTCCTTCCTTCTGGAGGGGGGCTACTTTTGTCCCTCATGGTCCCTGTGTGTGTTGTAAAGTAGTCACAGCTCCAAGCTCGCTTCCATGATGGACTACAATCTCACTACAAATGAGTAAACTAAACATGAGATTGTAGTCCATCACAGGAGCGAGCTTGGAGTGGTGACTACTTTACAACACACACAGGGACCATGGGGAACAAAAGTAGCCACCTTCCAGAAGGAAGGACAGTGTCAGCACCAATTCAGAGATGATTTGAGGATCTGCAGCCGAGTGATACACAAATAAGAGACATTTTTGTTATTAGTTAAGGTACTTGAATGCATTTTTAAGATTTAACTCCTGAGTTTAGTGTCACTTTAACAGCAGGAATGTTGATTTCAGCACCACAGAGAGAATCAAGCAAATTGCATAATAGCTACAATGGTGGAGACATGGTGCATCAAGTATTTAAAATTGTGAAAGTCACATTAAACATTCCCTCAATGTAAAATAACTAAAAAAGTATGCTCGCTTAAAATACATTATAAATCATTTACTGGTGAGAGAGACATCCTGCGCTTATTTTAGGCTGGGTCAAAAACGTCATACAGCAAAACATGTCAACAAACATTGCAAGACAATTAAAACTTTCGGGTACAGTACCAAAGCCACTTGATTACCTACACTAACGCTGATTATGGAGAAGTACCCCGCAAGGGTCGGCGTGCCTAAATCTGTGCACTTTCAACGCAAAATATTCCTTGAAATTCAGAAATGTTGACGTTGTGTTAATAGAAAAACTCCTTAAAGGAACAGTAACCTGGTTTTGTATGTTAAAGTATATCTACAGCCAAAACATTTTCTTTTGACTCTTTCTATTGGCCCTTGTGACCCCTGTTTCTGGGACAGAAAGTAATGGGAGCTGGAGGTGAGGACATATTTTTCAGTCGGGTCACCTGTTCCAGTTACAACTGTCCCCTTAATTTGGAGGTATTCCCTCTCACCTCTTTTTGTGCCTCAGAGACATGAAGTAATATCGAAAAAAAACAGACAGGTTTTCATGACCAAGTAAAGCATGCCTAGGCACCATAGGGTAAAAAATTAGTTTGTATTATACTAGGGATGCACCGATATCAGTTTTTCGGTATTGTGTACAAGTACTGATATTTTTTTTTGGTACTCGCTGATACCGAATATCGATAACAGTTTAATGTGCCCAGATTATCAGGAAGCCGGTGTTCTATTGAAAGAACACCGGCTTCACTTGCTGAGGCTGCCTGGCATCCTGATCAATCAGGAAGCCGGGCTGCAGGTCTTGAGGTGCTGTCTGGATTCCTGATTGGCCAGGAAGCCGACTTCACTTGTTGCTAGATAGCCTGACTTCCTGAGGCTCCAGTCCACAGGAGCCTCATTTTTTGGGGACATAACATTGCTGAACCCAGACCTGTTTTGAGTGGCAACCCAGTTCGGGCCAGTAGCTGTGGCCAATGGCACTCAAAAACAGAACACCAGGTTATCAAAGCTGAAAACCAATGTACAGTACATTACTATAACTCTAATGTGATTCTGACTGGACATAGACAGGTCCATGCTGTCTTTAACTTATAACCAGGTTTACTGTTCCTTTATATGAGTAAACACGGAAGAACCTTTTTTTTTGTCCTTATTGGTGCAGAGGACAACACATGACCAGGATGTCACTCATGACTATTCCATGGTGTGATTTTTTTGAGCATACATTTCTGAATTGGAAGGAAGACCCTTGAGTTTCCTGCTGGCCATCGGTTGACATAAGCCATGAGGAATAGTGCGGGGTATCTCCATAATCTTGTCTGTTCACTTCATCGAAATCCAGTCAAGGAAATAAATGAAGCGACACTCTCTCATACTGTTACCTAGATCTTGACCTCGTTATTGATTTGACATCCTTCTTGTCGTCATCTAATTTCTTGTCGTCGCCTGACTTGGAGTCTTGAAGGTTTTCATCTCCTTCATCATCTGATTTGATCTCGGAGCTACCCGGAGACAAGTTCTGTCCCGACAGACCAGCTGAGAGGGCTGTTTGTGAACACAGAAATTAACATTAATGCCCAAGAATCAATTTACACTGTACAGTCTGCTCATAGCGTACAGGATGGAATTCTGAAAATCAAAATGGCCTAATTCATACAACAATTGAAGGAAAGAAATGTGTCCTCATTGCTCACTGCAACATGTCAAGTGTAAATCTCATATATCATCTAATCTACAAATCTCTCTATTTCATTCAATAACAAAATATGGAAGAGCAAGCATGTCTAATGGCATGGTCATATAAAAGATGACTTTAAAAAAGTGTACTGTATCTCTTAGCAAAAAAAAAGCATTTCTTACATCCTTACAATACATGCACATTTTCCCATGTTTTGTCCCAAGTGCTGTTAGCCCTATGCAATCATTATAAACATAGCAATAATAAAGGTAAACTCACTGAAAATACATTATACATTCCTGTTACAAAGTCAGTTAGCTGCTATGAGTATCCAACATCTAATCTCCTGCCATTCACACACAAGACCCGCTCATTGGTACATATTTTAAACACATCTCCGGCCATAATATTAATTCTTGGCCATACCTAGAGAATGTTTTTACATTTTGGCCCACGGAATCCCTTCAAACAATGTAATCAAAGGATGTAATCACAGGTGTGGGGGAGGACAACAATCAATATTTAAATGTTATTCTAGATATTTTTAGCACAGCACTCACAACCTCAAGGCTCACAACCCAAATAATTCAGATAAAAGGTTAAATCTGTATTTTCTACATGAAAGCTACTTTTGCAGAAAGTTCTAGACGGAATGTAAACTGACCCAGCAAAGTGTGAACGCTCCTCAGTATTTCTGAAACACCTTTCTCAGCCCGGTTTCTCTTACCACGGTATGGGTCTTGAGATGGGTTTAAGTCCGGTGACGTAGCCGACTGGACAGGCAACTGTGGAACGGGCACCTGGTTTGGCACAAGCGAGTGACTTCCTCGTAGACTGTCCTCCCTATGTGAACCCACCTAAAAAAAATAAAACACATACTGGTTAATTGGTTCCATAACATAAATATTCTCACAGCACCCAACATTCTCGTACCATGTTCATTTCTTTATAACCTGTTGACATTTCTGCATGCACTAAACAAATGCAGGCTTATTCAACAATGTTGAAATTGGTTGAACCAAGCTGAAGTCAGGAATGTCTTCTCTGACAGTAATTAAAGAATATAAGAGCCCACAATGCTTACGACCCAACGTGCTGGTTTCAAGTCATGTGAGTTGCAGGACCTGCTTTTACAGATGACATGGTATGATTTTGCACCAGTTCACAACCAGTTCTATTATGACACTGAACAATTAACAATACAAGCACTTAATCAATCTAGCGAGAATAAAAAGACCTAGAGGTTTTGCATGCAGTTGAAGCTACACTGCTACGTCAAGGCACCTGTAATATATATATATATATATATATACATACATATACACAGTATATATAGCAATGAGCAAACTGAGAAAAGATATGCCCTTCCTCCTTAAAGGTACACTACCTTTAGGCCCACACTTGCCTCATTTTGTGTCTGTGCCAAGTCCACCAAAGCAAAATAAAAGCAGCCATTGAGGTGAGTTTATAACAAGCACAGTAAACTGGCCCATGAGGAATGGTGATTGTACCTCCTTTAATTGTATATTTTTATATCAGGTCTCTACGTTTTCTGGTTCTAAGAGCAATACAAAAATAATTCCTATAGGCTGTAATGACTAACTGAATAAGTAGTTTGGAAGTTGACATCATTCAGGTTTTTGTTTTATTCTATATTAAAATATTTGTAAAAAAAGGAAACACAATAACGGGACATCTTATCCATGTTTTCCTAAAAACGCACTAGAGGGAGCCCTTGCGCCACCTGACAGTCACATTCCCAGAAACACAAACAGCACTTAACACTCCGTGAGACGCGTTGTTGCACATTTAGTGACAAATATGGAAGAGTAAGTCAGGCAGGTAAAACGTCAAATTGTCTCCCTGGGTGCTGCAGTGGAGCGCACTGATTCATACCAATCTGTCTTCTATCATGTCCGCCAACAGATCTGACAATTATCCTAATGCCCATATGCTTAATTGTGGGCTTCTCAATTCCCCCATTGCTTTCAGAAATCCTGCAGGAATTTCCAGTTTGGCATTCGACTTGCGTTTCAAGGGATGAAATCCTCAGGACTGCCATCTTTACCATAATGCTGTCTAATCTGCTGTTTGTGGCAGCTACTGTCCTATGTGGCATTTGAGGTAGTGAAAAAAAAAAATTATTAAATGAAAAAGCCACCATTAACAAGGCGGCCTGAGCATGCAATTTATTAATGGCAATGTAAGATGTGGGCCGTGGTGTGAAGTAAACACTGCGGTGTCCAATGGGTAGATAGCATTATCGAATCTGCTATAAGTTGGATCCTGAGTGTTTTTGAAGGCTTGATCCTCAAAGGTTTGAATCAGCCAAGAAATAGTATTGCCTACATATTCACTTTCCTATTGCTATCTATGGCTAACACAAAACAACTCCTTATCTATTGCAACCTTTTCATACAAGAAGTCCACAGTGCATCAGACATTGGCCTTATTCTATAAACAGTTCTTCATCCTTATGTGCTAATGTTCACCATAGAACAAAGAACAAGAATTATTCTGATTGGTTGCTGTGTGTCACTGCAATGAAGAACTCTTTACTTATCTATTGTATAAAGACACTCTGACCACAACCACTGTATAGGTATAGTGAGAATCTGAGCAATCCTGTTTCCTGTGCAAGACAGATCTTCACTGCTTGTCACACATTATTATAGGACTGGTAGTTTTTTTTTATAGAATCTTTATGCTAAAGAAAAGGTAGGGCTGTTGTAATTAAATGCTGAATTTTGGAGCTGGAGGAGACATCTTGCCTGCTCAGGACAGCACATTAAACTAGGACTGTACTGTAGATGGGAATGGCGCATTTTTTGCTTTGCCTAGTGTCCAACCCCCTAGAGGAGTGTGATATACTTGTACAAAGAACCCATTCTCACCAGGGTTTCTCCAGAGGTTGCAGGGAGGTTTCCATGACCTATGGCTGATTGACCTTGTATCTGATGGTGCCTGCATAATTCTAGGTCCAACTGTAACTGGCAGAGCAAGATTCATGACACCAATGATCCTTTTAACTGTTTATTAGTGTGGTATTATAACCATCACTACAGGGAACATTCTTCCAAATGATCACCAATGTAAAGGGGCATTCTTATCACTGAGTACCAATGTAAGTTGCACTCTTCTCATTGACCACCAATGTATATAGCATCCTCCCCACTGACCACCAATGTATATAGCATTCTTCCCACTGACTGCCAATGTAAGGGGCATTCTTCCCACTGACCACCAATGTAAGGGGCATTCTTCCCACTGACCACCATTGTAAGGGGATTTCTTCCCACTGTCCACCAATGTAAGGGGCATTCTTCCCAATGAACACCAATGTAAGGGGCATTCTTCCCACTGAACACCAATGTAAGGAGTATTCTTCTTAATGACTACCAATGTAAGAGGCATTCTTCCCACTGACCACCAATGTAAGGGGCATTCTTCCCACTGACCACCAATGTAAGGTGTATTCTTCTTACGATGAGAATCCGCCCTTTAAATATATTCCAGTAACTGTTAACGTAAATATTCCCTGACAAGTCAAAACTGAAGGAAATTACATCATCTCGAGTCCCTGAAAACTGCAGTGGCTTCTGTGTTGGAGCTTTTTTTTACAGATATAATGGATTTTCTTATTTTTGTCTTTTTTCTCTTGACTAGGTTACATTTCCTCCATGGTCCCTCTTTGCTTGTAAAAATAACTATTTTTAGTTGGGAGTGGGTTCAGTTTTTTATTTTAAAGAGACCATGTCACCATCCTTGACTTTATCAGCTAAGTACATTAAAGGAGAATTATTGGGAGAATGAAATACACTCTTCCCCATGATTAGAGCCGACATGTGACACTGAAGCTGTCACACGACGGCTCTATAGATCGTGAAATGAGAGATCACATACTGCTGATCACTCAGTTCACGATATCTGTGAAGGTTCTCATTCATCCAGGTGACACACGGACCAATACCTGCTATTTGACTCCCACCACCCTCTAGATCACAAACTAGGAGTCATCAGGACTCTACACCACCGGACAGAGAAAATTCCCACCAGCACGGAGGCCAAGGCGAAGGAATTCAAACACCTCAGAGGGGCCCTCATAACTTGTGGGTATCCAGACTGGGCCTTTGTCAAAACAGAAAGAAGCAGAGGAAAGAATACCAAGACTGCAAGTGAGGGTGAAATACATGACAAATAAAATAATATAGTCATCTCATATGTAGCTGGGGTGTCTGAAAAACTCCCGCCAATCAGAATTTCAAAGAGGAATACCCCGCCAGTATTATGTAAGTTTTTGAAATTCTGATTGGCGGGAGCATGATGTCAGAGGATGCCAGGAGGGGGTAGGAGGTTCTTCATTCTTTATTTGATCATCTATGTCTATTTAAAGGGTGTTGTACGTTTGTTTGTTGTCATTCTGAGCCAGATGAAGGTGACCCAGTGTAGCCCTGGAAGCGCTTGCACTTGAGTGGCAATCTTCTATCAATAAATGGACTTTTGCAGATTGCACAAAAGATGAGGGTGTGCTGGTGACATCCTTTGAAACTTGTATGTGTGTTGTGGCACGCTGCATTAGTGCAGTGCAAAACAGGCACATTGCAGTGGTATGTTGGGCTGCCATTTAAAATGAATGGCACCGTAATGCACCAAGGCACGTTAGTGCAACATGCTGGTGTGAATGAGCCGTTATATTTTCCGTTTCCACAGATTTAAAAGCTGGCACTATAATCTGACAATCTGTAAGATCTTATACAGAAATACTGGCATTTCAGAGAATCCAATGTAGTCATTAAATTTGTATGAGGTTATAGAAAAGTGACTGGATATAGAGAACATTTTTAAATAGATCAGCACAGATTCTAAAGCCGGTCACTCATATTACAATCTCTCCTTTCAATCCAAATTGTGTAGCCAACCTAAAAAAAAAATAAAAAAAAATTGAAAAACCAAGTCCGAACACCGCTCTCAGCCGCAGAGCCCCTAAGCGGTCCTTGTAACAAGCTTTATGTACATTGTTACACGCTCAAGTATAAGGCATCTTACATGGAAGGGAAAAAAAAGATTAATTAGTATTTTTCCTGTTGTTCGGATTTATATCACACTGATTTTTAAGATTATTTGCTTCATTCCCAGCTGCCAGCCTGCTCTATCCTAATCCCCCATCTGGATGCTTTTCTGGGGCTTTTTAAAATCTACACAAAATATACCAAAGATATATGGGAAAAAAAAAACCTCAAAGAATACAAAAAAATAAAAAGTGAACTGTTCAAAATGTTAAACTTAAGCTGCGTTATTAATTAAAAGGACTAATTGAGGTATGTGTTACAATGTAATCTACTTAAAATGAATGCAGTATGCAGATATATGCGCAGAGATGTACGGCGTCAGGAAAAGTTGTAGAGGGTGGCGCTAACAAGTTTCAGTGTTGGGAAAACAATTATTTCTAATAGGAGAGATTAGAGGTCCGAACACCTGGCGAGATAAAAATCGAGGAGGAATTTTTAATTAAAAGCAAATAACTTTTCTTTGCAGCCGAAGTCAGTGATATCTAGACCGAGGAGGTAAAATAATAGTCAAGGTCTTTTACGGTACGGGCGTGGAGGAGGGCGACGAGTGATGGCTTGCAGAATTTCTACTCCTACGTCAAGTCTTACTTTTCAGTGTCTCAAAATTAATCCTTTGTTCGGTTTCTTTGAGTCAAAACAAACTCTTTACAACTTAGGTGCCAAATTGACCGGATACTTTTTGAGTCACTGTACCATTCACACCGCCAACCCAAAGATGATATTCTGTTTTTTAGTAGATTCTGGAGAGTTACATTTTCTATTATTAATATTCAGTTTGCGCAGCGCTT